ACACACACACACACTACATCCTGTACTAACACTGCCTCCCTCTGTCAGACCACGTGTCTCACCTGGAGCAGTACATCAATTCAATGGAGAAGCTGTCAGTCAACTGTCACTCAAACGGAGAATCGGAGGTCGGCTCTGCTTTCTGCCGACTGGCAGACTTCTCTAAAGATCTCCTCTCTCCCATGAAGAACCTGGTAAGTCATCAGTGACAGCAGTATGATGTCACAGAGGTCAGAGGTCGCAACAGTTGCAGCGTCCTGTTATTCTGAAGCTGGTTACCTTATTATATATATATATAACTGGAAATACATCTAATTTAAACCCCAAGATTAGTGCTTAATTGTTCATACCAAACTTCCATTGGAAAAACATCCAATTAATAATTAATTAACTGGATTAACTAGTTTATTCCGAACTCACTTGAGAAACCCGGTAACTGAAAACTTCCAGTTGGCTTTTAACTGATCATTTAAAACTTAAACTGGGAAAACTTTTGGATTTAAACCAATTGGATCTTAACTGTTGCATTCAAAATGTCCATTGGGAAAACAGTTGAATCTTAATTTGTCCATTCAAAACTTCAACTGACAAATCCTCTAATTAAAAAATACTGTTTTTTTCAACTAGCTCAACCCAAACGTCATTGAGAAGGCCTTGTTTTAAAAAACCTCGGGTCAAAAACCAGTTGGCTCATAACTAATTCACTCTAATTAAAAACCCAAGATTTCAGTTCACTTGTTCATTGAGAACTTAACCCTCTTTAAAACCCAGTTAGCTCTGCTCCTTTCCTCACTTCAGTTGGAAAAATAAATTGGGTCTCAATCGCTCTGTTCCAAACTCCATTGAGAAACTCTCTAATTAAGGACCAATGATTAGATTTTACCTGGTTCATTCCACACTTCATTGGGTAAAACCTCTGATTAAAAACCAAGTGGATGTGGTTGTTTGTCGCCACATTACCCATTACCACCATTAAGTCTAACTTACATCTTATATTTATTCTTGTTATACAATTAAAGTTACTTTAATTGTATTTTTCAAGCAGATACACAACATTTTAAAGAAGTCATCATCTTACTGTTCATCCATTTTTCATTTCATTTCATTTTAAGCAGTACAGTGAAGTATTACCCATGATGCCTATCAATAGGGAATTTTTTCCGCCATAGATGATCTTTGTGTGTGTGTGTGTGTGTGTGTGTGTGTGCAGTTAAAGAGCATGCTCCACAACATCAACTTCTTCCTGGACTCTCTGGTTAAAGGAGACCTGAGGGAGGTGAAGGGGGTGAGGACTTTATCTTTACTTTACCTAAACAGTTCAGTGGATTCAGAATCCTGTTTTCTACTCTGACGTTCTCTGTCTTTCTCTTTGTAGGATCTGAAGAAGCCTTTCGACAAAGCATGGAGGGACTATGAGAGCAGATTGTGAGTGATGGTCACACTAAATTATCTCTTATATTAAATAAAGTGTTTACATACACACTAGTATCTCTATTGTTATCAGATTTTTTTGGAGTTATGTGTTTGTGTATGTAAATATCACAGTTTTTATATTATTTTTAGAAACCTTGATAAATGCATCGGCAGGAAAGTAGCATTTTACTGTTGTAGCTAGTCTAGTGGTTCCCAATCTAGGGTTCGGGACCTTCCAGAGGGTCACAAGATAAATCTGAGGGGTCTTGAGATGTTTAATGGGAGAAGAAAGGAAAAAAAAGTTCTGCCACATAAATTAGCTTTTATTTTTGTATTCGTACTCACTGTTAATGGATTATAATTGACTTGTTACAAGTACAGTGTGGAGTATTTGTAATGTAATTAGTTGATTTAAATAAAATGTGTTTGTGTGTGTGTGTGTGCAGTAAGCAGGTGGAGAAGGAGAAGAGGGAGTTAGCTCGGCAGTATGGGATGGTGAGGAGCGAGGTGAGCGGAGGAGAGATCGCTGAGGAGCTCGAGAAGGAGAGACGCTCCTTCCAGCTGAGCATGTGTGAGGTCAGTGAGTCCGCCTTCGTCTGTGATCCTGCCTCCTTATTCTCCTTCACCATTACACACATCCATCACTACAAAATGTGCAGCCGTCTCTCTCTCTCTCTCTCTCAGTATCTGATTAAGGTCAACGAGATAAAGACGAAGAGAGGAGTCGACCTGCTGCAGAACCTTATCAAACACTACCACAGCCACAACAAGTAAGAACAGACACACACACACACAAACACACAAGCCAACATGCAGTAAACTGATATGGTTATATTTACTGTATCTCTGTGTGTGTAGTTTCCTGCAGGAGTGTGTTTCCACCACTCAGAGGTTGAAGCAGTACATGGAGGAGCTGAATGGAGTCCTGACGACGGTACGACAAGAAACAGCTGTAATGATGTGCGGCCTCTAGGGGACGCAAGCACACTGTTGGTGTTGTGTTTTGTTTTGTTTTGTTTTTTCTTGTAGTCATTAACCAAATTTTGATTAAACAGTGTCTGCCCTAATACATATTAATTAATCAATAATTATAATTCAATAATATAATACACATTTTTATGAAATGGGCCATTCTGCATAATGAGTACTGAGTAGAGGTTTAGCTACACACTAGCCTCATAACTGCAATCACATTATCAGTAGTCAGCCAATCATATGTAAGCTTACTCTCACTCTGTACACGTGTTGCCTTTATTTCAAAACAAAAGCGCACTGTTATTACAAATACCTAAAAAAATCATCCCTCCAACTGTGTTCAAATAACCAAATTAGCTGGAAACGACTGAACAGGATTATTTTAGCCTGATAACAGCATGTTAGTCTGGATTAGTTGAGCCACAGTTGAAGAACAGCACTCAGGTGAGTTGCTGTGTGTCTGCAGGTGAAGCAGCGTCAGGAGGAGGAGAAGAAGCAGCTTGTGTCTCTCAGAGATCAGCTGAGGCCAGTCGTCCACACAGAGCAGGTCAGAGACACAAACACTGACAGTAACATCTATAATATTGACCTGTATCTATAATACAGGTGATTAATGTCTGTGTGTGTGTGTGTGTGTGTGTGTAGGACTCTTTACCTAAGCAGACGTATAGTATGCATCAGCTGCTGGGAGACAAACAGTACGGGACAGAAAGAACAGGATTCCTCTACAAGAAGAGTGATGGGTAAAAAATGGACACACACACTGATGAACACACTGAAACACTGACCGGTGTTAATAACAGGACTGTAACTGTGTGTCTGTTTGTGTTTCAGGTTGAGGAAAATGTGGCAGAAGAGGAAATGTTCAGTGCACAACTGTTACCTGACGATCGCACACGCTACTGTGAGCTCACCTGTGTGTGTGTGTGTGTGTGTGATTAGCTGTAACATCTGACCTGTACTCATCTATCTAGCCTTTAGAAACTGATGTTAAAAAAAATTATCTTGCAGCTCAGATTATTCTGTATTGTTAACATCATGTCAGGATGATGATGTTTTGTTGACAGTTTTTATTGTTTTTTTCTCATGTTTTTATTCAGTTTTTAATCTCATGTCTATATTTGTTTTCTACTATATATTATTATTTGTTTGTAACTGGCACTAAACCTGAATGAAATGTGTAAGTAAAGATTTAATTGATTGATCTTCTTTTCTCTCTCTCAGCCTAATAAACCTCCTACCAGACTCAACCTGCTCACCTGTCAAGTTAAACCCAGTGTGGAGGACAAGAAATGCTTCGACCTCATCTCTCGTAAGACACGCACACACACACACACACACACACACACACACACACACACACTGGAACATGATACAGATATAAAATAATAAAAAACCCCAGATCAGTGAGCAGAAATATAAAGTGTGTGCAACCAATAGTGCAGTGTCCTGTTGTTCCAGATCACAGATATAGTATATTTAAAATATTGATCTGTATACATATATATTATGTTTTTGCATAATAGATATAATCAAGCATAGTGTAAATAAAGTTTAAATATAGTATTAACAAATAACTATACATAGGATATTAGTTTGTGGTATAAATATGTTCATAAAACACATATCATTTAATTAAATGTTGAGATATGACCCAATAAGTTTGTATTTTGATTGATACAGGGCATTGTAATCACCCGTGTTACATTAATGGAACGTACAACCAGTATTTTTAAGTGGTAATTCATTTAATCATATTTATAACTAATGTTTTCAAAATTATTGCTGTATAGTTCCTGAGCCTCAGAGGTGCTGCCAGTTTATGATGATGATGAGTTTTTAAAAATCCCAACAAGTTCTCTAATCCAGCTATTTGTGACGTCTCCACATCTCTTTATTTTCTATTTTCTGTTCTCTGGTCCTCTCTGTCTCTCTCTGCTGCTGTCTCTCAGACTCCATCTATATCGAACACATTTGAGATTACATTTGCATGATTTTGACCGAGCAGCTATTCGTCTTTTTTTGTTGGTCAAGGTTACCTAAATAACTCTATTTTAAAGCTCTTTAGCCTCACTGTTTCTGCCATTTATTCAACGCAGCAGACAAACACATACGTTATAAATGTATGTGTTATACTTAGTGTTATACTGTCTGTTTACTAAAAGTTAATTCACACCTTACAGCCAATCGGAATCCAGAATTTTCCGTGGCCACTGTATAAACACACACAGTTATATTGGATAATATATAACAGATACTTTGTCCTACAGATAATCGGACCTACCACTTCCTGGCTGAGGATGAAGCTGAATGTGTGGCGTGAGTCAAAAATATACTTTATTCTGCTCAGCTATGGATACAGTTCAATACTGGAAAAAAGTATGAAATGTGTTGTGTGTGTTTGTGTGTATCTGTGTGTGTGTGTTCTTAGCTGGATCTCGGTGCTCAGTAACAGTAAGCAGGAGGCTCTGAACGTGGCTCTAGATGGGGGGAGGAGAGGGGGAGGAGGTGGAGAGAGCAGTGTGGAGGATCTGACCCGGGCCATCACTGATGACATCAAACGGATGCCAGGAAACAACAACTGCTGTGACTGTGGAGCTCCAGGTAATCTCTGTCAGTCAATTAATCAATTAATCTTTCTTGAGGAAATAAATGGCTAATTAATGAAATGAAATTAAATTAAATCTTTTCTATCGCTACTTTTAAAACTACTGTCACTGAAACTTATCTAAAAGATACTGTATGACAATGACAATAAAGTTTAATTCTCTCTCTCTCGCTCTCTCTCTCTCTCTCTGTAGATCCTGGATGGCTCTCAACCAACCTGGGGATCCTGACCTGTATCGAGTGTTCAGGGATCCACAGGGAAATGGGGGTACACGTCTCCAGGATCCAATCTCTGAGCCTCGACAGTCTGGGAACCTCAGACCTGCTGGTAAGTCCGGCCTGTACATCCAGTAAATCAAACAGCTTTGTAGTTCTTTCAAGGGAGTTTTCTTTGCTCTTCAGTCAGCTCTGACTCTCTAGACTTATGAGGTTAATTTCAGACATTAAGTAGTTTTCAAAAGGCTCTAACTTTTTTCTAATTGAATTTCCAGCTTTTTGTACAAGAGTGCAGGTAGTGAATTTTGTTTTCTCTCTCTTCCAGTTGGCTAGAAATGTTGGTAACTCTGGTTTTAATGAAATACTGGAGGCGAACCTGCTGAGTCCGTCACTGAAGCCCTCCCAACACAGCCACATGTAAGAGACACACACACACACAAACACACACACCCCTTATTCTAATCTTAACCCCTGACCCAAAAATCAGCTTTTGTCCCCAATTGTCCCCAACAACTGATACTATATATTTGTGCTGTATGTTTGCAGGGGGGAGCGTAAAGACTTCATCTTATCCAAGTATCAGGACGTTCATTTTGTGAGGCGGAGCCACAGCTCTGCTTCGGCGCTGCGACTCGGCCTGCAGGAGGCGACCAAAAACTGCGACATCTACAGTCTGATCCAGCTGTACGCTCAGAGGACGGAGCTGAGCCAGCCGCTGCACACACACATACAGGTACACACATACCAATACTGACACATACAGTTATATACTGGTACGCGCACATATCGGTTCATACAGGTACGCACCTGTAAACAAAATACACACACACTCAGCAGTGTTTCCTTCCCAACAGGAGAAAGGGGAAACGGCGCTCCATCTAGCAGTCCTATTGGCTGACAGGACGTCGCTGCACATCCTGGATTTCCTGGCTCAGAACTGGTCAGTCTCTGCTCTGACATTGATGTTTCGGCGTGTATTTCATCTCAGTGTGTGTTAATATGTTCACCTGTGTGTTTACCTGCGTGTGTATTTGTTTTTGTTCAGCTCCAACGTGGACGTGCAGACATCAGCAGGAAACACGGCGCTACACTACAGCTGTCTGCACAACAAGAGCGACTGTGTGAGACTGCTGCTGAGAGCCAGGGCCAACACGCACATCAGTAATGCATACACAACAACACACACACACACATACGCTCGCCCTGCCCCCCAGCCTTTACCTGAAACTAGTTCAAACTTTAACCCTGAAACAAGGTTTTTTGACAAAAAAGGAGGAAGTGATAACTGACTGTTGTAGAAAGTGAGGACATTGTTGTTTTGTACAAGTGCATAAACGTTTCCTGTTGACGATAATGACAACAGAAAACACATTTGTAACATTTGTTAACTCCTTTAACAGAGAACGAGTTAGGAGAGACCGCGCTGGACATGAGCCGCAGATTGAAGCACGGCCATTGTGGGGCGCTGGTGAGGTCCAACTTACACCTCTCTACGTGTGACCACTGATGTCAACGTTACACTTTCTAAAACCTTGTGTGTTTGTGCAGCTGCAGCAGGCCCAGTCCAACCAGTTTGACCATCACGTCCATGTGGAGTACGAGTGGAGGCTTCGTCACGACGACCTCTACGACAGTGATGATGACTTTGATGACAAGGTAACCATGGTAACGGACAGCCTGCTGATATATCTGCTTTATTCCATCTTTGTTCAAGAAGAAAAACCTCAGGGTTGAATGCTGTAGTTGGTTTTCACAACCTAGCTCTGCTATAACATTAAATATTCTTTGTCTGATAAAGATTTTTTATTCGGTCTGTTGTGAGTACAGAGTCTATAAACTGATTGTCTGATGTAAGGACGAGTAGTTATAGTTATTATTATTATTTACTTTATTTTCTTAATTCTTGCCTTCTTAGTTGTTTTTTATTTTTCTTCTTGCTTTTTTATTTTACCAAAATGTAGTTTACAAACCCCTTTATTATAATTTAAGTAATAATTTAGTTTAGTGGAGTGACTCTTCCAGTAAACTGTTGATGAATTAACATCACTTCTCCTCTTCTGTTTCAGAATGGTCCTGTGAAGAAAGAGCGCTTCTCCTCTTCCTCGTCCTCCTCCTTCAGCTCCTCTTTCTCCTTCTCCTCCCGTCCCTTCATCTTCAGTCAGTCCACCTCCTCGTCCATGAACCCGTCCTCCTCTGGAGCAGCTGGAGGAGGTCTGCTCAGCGTGGGGAGGAGGCTCGCCATGGCTATGGAGCTCCACAGCCGGCCAGCTGGCTCTGCCTCCAGCCCCCCACCTCCTCCCCCGTCCTCCCCTGCGCCTCCGCTGCCACCGAGGGTCAAAGGTGAGCTCAGATTCTGATTGGTGTGCTTTTTATTGTCACACATCTGTAACGTTTGGTAGATTTTTAATGTGAAACATCTGCAGACATTTTTGACTTTCACTGTCAGTATCAGCAGTAAAAACATTAATGTTGACGTTATGTGAGTCAGTTATGCTGTTGAAATAGTCAGCCTACATGGACTAATAAGACATCACATAATAATGTGCAGTGGTGAATCATTTGTCAGACAAGAATAACTTCATACACTTACAACTATGTGGACGCTAACAAGCTCAATAAATAAAATCTGCCACAAAAAAAAGGTTTCCTTACTAAAACACAACTTGAGTTTTTAATAATGCTAGCAGTGATTCTAATGCCGGTTGGTTCACCACTTTGGTTCAACCTAAAATATCCCAACTATTGGATGGTTTGTCATGAAATTTTGATAAACACATTGTCCCCTAATCTATGAACTGTAATGACTCCGGTGTTCACCTGATGTTTAATCGCCATCATCAGGTCAAACATTTTATTTTATCCAGTGCAAACTGGTTTATGATCAAATACCTGATGACATTATCATCTGTTGTGCTTAAAGGTGTGTGTAACATTTAGGATGATCGACTGTCAGAATATACATAGCTATGTTATCATTAGTTTATAATCACTTGAATATAAGAGTCGTTTTGTTACCTTAGAATGAGCTGTTATTTATCTACAGATGCAGTCGCCTTCTGTCGAGTCCACCATGTTGAATTGCTTTGTTTCTACAGTTGCCCAGAAGGGACAAACCAAACACTGACTAGCTGCTTTCTCAGTCTTGTTTATAATCCTCCAACCACAAGAACTTAATCAGAATTAAAGGACATTTTATTTAAAAGTATAGCTCTAAAATAAGCAGTAATACATGAAATGGATTTTCCCTCCAGAGACACATTTCAAACTGTCTCTGCGGCTAATGGGAGTGTATCTTAATGGAAAGGTCTCTTCCTAAAAATATAATCAAATATACTTAAACATCTTTATCTTCTGCGTCCTCCAGCTCCCAATGTTCCTCCTCCTCCCCCTCCTGATGGGGGGGAAGGTGTTGGAGAGGAAGACGAAGAAGAGGGGGAGGTCTTCTTCCCCCTGACAGGGAACAGAAAGTCGACCCCTCCTCCCATCGCCGTCCGACACAAGAGGAGCTGCTCTGAGTCCAGCAAACACGGTAACATCTGAGAGACACACTGCGATTAATCTGTCAAAGTGATTGTGTGTTATTAACTCTGTGTGTGTGTGTGTGTGTGTGTGTCTGAAGATTACGGGTTGCCAACCAGTCCCAGGATCTACAGCGGTCCAGATTCCTCCTTTAAGAAGTGTGTGTGAGTATCTGAGACACACTGAATTTAAATATAAATTCCCATTTTATTACAATAAACACATCCAAGGGAACAAGGCTTCTGATTGGATCGGTGGGGGCATGATGTCACACTGGCCCAGGTGCCAGATAGTCTGGATTTTTCATTTCTGTAGACACTTATTAGTGTTTACAGCAAACTACATAATATACAAACAATCTTCCTTAGTAGCTTTAGTGAAATCCATCAAAAGGCAATTTTTTTAAACAATATATTTATTGGATTTTCTTGTTTTTCTACAATAATAATAACACAAACATAAGCAACAGTCACATAAACAAACAAAAACAGCTCAGTTCAACAAACATACAGGATATTACAGGAAATACACTGTTGTAGGTAAATCACAAGTTACAAGAGTTCAGGTTCAGTAGACTCCTTGTAAAATAATGCTAAAAAATAATGAAACCAGTCTGAATATAATTATTAGAATATTTGAACCAACCATTGACAGAAGGGCCCTTATCACTTGTCCACTGTAATAATATAGTTTTTATATATATTCTTTCTAGCAGTAGAATAATATTTTATAACGTTTTGATAGCCACAGAAGTTATATTCCTACTTGGTAGGCCCAAAAACAAAGACACTGGTTCCTTTTCTAAAACTTTTTCAAATATTTTTCCATTTCGCAAAGTATTTCAGATCAATACTTAACAATTTACAACATGACCATAGGCAGTGGTTCCCAACTGAGGCTCCCACTAGGAGTTGCCAAAGCTTCATAAGGGGTCGTGAGGCCTTCTTGATTTTAAGTACATTGTCTAATAGAACAATGACCAAGCATCAGGAACAAGAAAACTCACTCAGTCAGGGACTTAACACAATTTTAAAACATCACCACCAACAATAATCCATAACATTATACAGCAGGTGTGTGCATAAATAGATCAATCAGAAACCATACATACAACAACATGATGGTGATCACTCTGGATGCATAACGTGAAGAGCAACTACAACTGCTACAGCTCTGAACTGTTTATGTTGTCTGAACTGTACATTACTTTGTTGTAACGATGCTCTTGTGCTTCTCTAACGCCTCGTCCATTGTTGCAGTTGATGGCTCCGTTGAGAGAACACACTCCTACGCCGTTTCTGTTGGACAGCATAGAAAAAAGCTGTGGCGACAGAGAGGGTTTAACTCTTCCGAATGTAATAAACGTGCGTGGCGCCCTGGGCACATGAACAGTGTGTCAGTGGAATCGGCTAGAAAAAGTCACTGATAAAAACGTATCCACTGTAATCGCCACCTACATCACATAGGCAGATGAGACATAAAAGCAATATTAATCATTGT